AATTTACAAGCAAATTGGTAAAAAAATTTACTGATAAATTAGAGGACCTTTTCTTTAATCTACAGTTTAATACTTGCTGTTCATTTACTTGTTTACTTGCTGTTCATGTAAGATAATGTCAAAACATGTTGCAGATTTCAAAATTAATGACCTCGAATGCTGTACTGAGTTGAAAAGAAAATATTCTCAAATTTTCAAAAAAAGTTTCTTTTACCTATTTTTTAAGTTTCTTCTTATTGACGCACAACTATCAGTCAACAAGATTTATCGCTATATATATATATATATATATATATATATATATATATATATATATATATATATATATATATATATATATATATATATATATATATATATATATATATATATATATATATATTAATTAATTAATTCAATTATATTATTCGTTAATTCATTGCCATATCAACTATGCAAACATTGCTTGGGGTAGCACTTATAAAAGTAAACTTAAACCTCTCTATCGGCAACAGAAGCATGTAGCACGCCTTATAAATTTCAAGGACCGTTTTGCTCACGCCAAGCCTCTTTTATATGATATGAAAGCACTCAATATATATGAGTTAAATGTTTTTAATATTCTTTGTTTTATGTATAAATGCAAGACCAACCTATCACCCGTTTCTTTTCGTAACTTGTATTTACAAAGAAATAGAAATAAATATATTCTAAGGAACGATAACTTAATTCGACAACCATTTTCTCAAACTAATTTTGGAAAATTTTTTATTTCATTTCGCGGACCATTTTTATGGAATAGTATAGTTCTAAATACTTCTAAAGATTTTTCTCAAGAATGTAGATTAGTATATTTTCATTTTTTCAACTGAAAATATACTAATCTACTTTTAAATTTTTGAAAATCACTTGTCTATATTAGTATATGAATATATTTAATGTACATTCTTTTTTATTTATTTATTTTTTTATCAACAATCAATTATTTAACATGTTCTATTTTAGTGAATTATTTAACATGTTTTAGTTTTTAAGTTTTAGAACTTTTCTATTGTAATATTGTATGTTTATTTATAATATTATATTACGAACTTTATATACTTTTATTAATAAATTTAATTTTGTAATAAAAAGAAACTGAACAAAAATAAATAAATAAAAAGAATGAAAACATTGAAAAAAAAAAATAATAATAGTAATAAAAAAAATTAAAACAAAATTAAAAAAAAAAAAAAAAAGTTCAAAAGCGGTTTCTCTGTGACAAGACCTGATGGTCTTCTTTGAGTATCCACGTTCTTTATATTTATTAATATTCTTTATATTATTATATTATTCTTAACGATATCTTGACATGTTACCTTTTCTTTTTTTATTTTTTATATTATTTGTATCTGTATCATAAATATTGTAATAAAGAACAAAAAAAAAAAAAAAAAAAAAAAAAAAAAAAAAAAAAAAAAATATATATATATATATATATATATATATATATATGTATATATATATATATATATATATATATATATATATATATATATATATATATATATATATATATATATATATATATGTATATATATATATATATATATATATATATGTATATATAAATACATATATATTTTTCAATCTCTTCACCGTGGCATAACAAATTGGGGTTCAGAGGAAGTTCTGATTTTGGGCCCTGACTTTTTAGGGCTCCTAACAATCATCATAGTTTTGTTTTTTCGTATACAATTGGAATTCCTGAAGTCTCCATAACAGCAAAACAGATGTTAATGTAATCTAATCTAATATTATAGGCATTTATGTTCTATGACAAATAAAGAGGATTTCCATACTGTATTTTCTTTCATATTTCTTTTTTATTTATAACCGCATAATTTCTATGTTATTTTCGCTTGTTTACTGTGTATTGGCTTATTTGAAAATCTGTTTTAAAAAATACCAAAAAATAAAAAATAATTAAATATATATTTAGATAAAATGCTAACCGCCTTGTGGGAGCAAATAATTTTAACCTTTATATTTAAGAAAGTAAAATAGATGATCGATATAGATCATTAAATGAGCTGTACTTTGTTCTTCAACCATTAACAGAAACAAGGTAAGGTTAGTTTTAAAGCTTTAATATTAATACTTTCTTTTTAATAAATATGTCTAGTTTTTTAATAAAAAACTCATCTCTTTACTACGTATTCATTTCACAAATATTTGTAAATGAAAATATGTAAAACTTGTTTTTATTCCCATAAAATTGTCAACTTGACTTTTACAACTAAAAAGTTCAAAGAAATTTTTTACAAAAAAATACAATTCTTTTTTACAAAAAACTTACAAAAAAAATTCAAAGAATTTTACATTTTGCTTGATAATGTGAAACTAAATCAATAAGCCCAATTGTATTATAGCTTTTACTACCATTTGTTTTAGACCTAGACATTAACAGACTTACAGTGGCGTTTATTAGATTTTATTTTTATGCCATATATAAGTATATATATTAATGACCTAGAGAATATATCAGAGTGGGAGCGAAAAACGTACTTAAAAAGTATGAAAGAAAAAGTAAACTCTTGTTAACTTTAACATCAAATTTAGATCCTTACACTTCATCAAGACCTACATTGACACAAGTCAAAATAGCCAAGCGATGGTTTTGGTTCTTCAATCTCAATATCTAGGTAAAAAACATCAAATCTGATCAAAAAACATTAAAAACTTTATTTATGTCTATTATCAATATTAATGGATTTCATTGTACCCATCTTTACAATACTAAAATTACAAATGACCAAATGACAGTTTGAGGTACCTCAGACTGTCATTTTTAATTTTATTACAGCCAAACACAGACCAAGCATACTAAATGGTCTTTTTCTACATAATTAGGAAGCCGTTTTAAATTTTTTTACTACTTGTTACAAAGGTCACAACAAAGTTGGAATAAAAATTAATTATCCTTTGCTTTACTACTCTCCTACTCTTAACTGTTGTTACTGTCATTCATACTGTGTGTTTGCTGACAGACTTAAATGTCATCAGTTTAAGTGAATCAAGGGCCTTTTTAATAAGAAACATTTTAGTCAAAAGATCAATCGTCATAAAGATTCAACTGCTTATCTTTAGGCAGTTATTTCCAAAAAGATGTGACTTGATGAGTGTGGTCATATCAAAAAAATGAAAAATAACTCTTTAAACAAAGCAATACTGGTTTAGTGTTCTACAGCAGTTCTTTGATATTTCATTACTATAGCCTCGTGTATCCTTAAAGCTCACCACAAAAACGTAAATTTTTTAGGATCTGGAAATTTTCTTTTGCTTATTTAATTTTTTTCCCAATATGATTTTGTTTTAAAGAAACTGGTAAATAAAGTAACAGGTTATGTGCGCTACCTCAAGTACAAAATAAATTGATATCTTTTCTTGCTTCTAAGCTTTAAGAGCACCTGCTGTTAGAGATTTATTTGGTACGATTCTTTCAGTTAAAGGCAATACAACAATCTATATTTTGAAGAGCGAACAGTAACTGTATTTGTCTGAGAATTTTTACAGTAGCAATAAAAGCATAGATATCTTCGTTGGTTTCTATGTGCTTCAAGATTAGTCTGTGGAAGGATTTCTTAACCTAGTCATTTGTCTTTTGACTATATTATATTGACATTAACAAGTGATAATATCAATATTGGAATCAACAGGATTAGGTTATAATGGAACACCTGTGATGAACGGTGTTTATAGTGATGTTCAACAAACTGCACCAATCGCAGGCAACTATGTTTGCCATCAAATAAATTTAGTGCTAGGTAATACTGCTACATTGGCTCTAGAAATAAAAACTTTCTCCAACATTGTTCAACAAATTTATGATTACTTTTGAGAAAGTACACTACAATGGGTTATTAAGGAGCGTTTAGCATTAACCAGGAAAAGCAAATTTCATTAAAAAACCTAAGTGCAAAAAAATAGGAAAGTAGATATTTGTTTATTACTGCAATTATAAATAAAAGTCCTAATTTGATTTAGATCCTTACAAATTTTCTGTGAGGACGGTATCAAAATTGTTGCAGAGGAAAAATTCTGACGTTTCAGTATTATTATATATATATATATATATATATACATATATATATATATATATATATATATATATATATATATATATATATATATATATATATATATATATATATATATTGTTGTTTATTATTGTATCTGGTTGAGATACAAATCCTCGTGTTTACTTGAGAGTGATCAATATAATGTGAAAATAATTTTTACAAAATAGATCAATATATATATATAAATAAAGTGTAATTAAATAGAAAAATACAACTTTAAAATGGAACTAAAAGTTTCATGCCTATCGGCAATCTTCAGCCATATATATTATCCTATATATCATAAATAATATATATGGCTGAAGATTGCCGATAGGCATGAAACTTTTAGTTCCATTATAAAGTTGTATTTTTCTATTTAATTACATTTTATATATATATATATATATATATATATATATATATATATATATATATATATATATATATATATATATATATATATATGTTTTACATAATTGAAGTAATTAGTTAAAATTAAAATAAATTGCTAATTGAAAGTTGTAATCATATTAATTACTTATCTCTGACTTGTATACTTATTTTCTGACAATATCTATCTCAAGTCAGAGTTGACTGATTGACCTGGCTGGATTAAGTATTTTGTTTCGCAAAATTTTTTAATAAAACCAATCTAGTTAACAAGGTTTCTATCAGTTATACATCTACAGCAGACTCTACTATAAAATAAAATTTAAAAGCTTATTTAAAAATCATTTTTGTTTGGATTTTATGAAAAAATTTGACTATTAATAATTATTTTAGTTAGAAATAATTTCTTTTAACATCATTAAAATAATGATTAAAAATATAATCTTCATGTCATCATTGTTCTTTTCTTTGTATTACAAAATGACTAAAATTATTAAATATATTTAAATATAATAATGATTAACTTACCAAATAAATGAATTAATGATAATTTTTCCGAATTTTCTTTAACCAAATTTGATATAAGGCTCACAAAAGCAGTTTGACCTTTTGGTTTTGAAAAAAGAATGTTTGAAATTTCTTTGCTTGACAATCCATAAATCATCGGTAGACAGCTTAGCAGCTTTTTATTAGCAATAATTTCTTTACCGCTTAAGCAATTGTATGCATACACAGAGGCACAAAACTCCATTATCTTAAAGTGCACAAATTGATAATAACAACCAAATATTGTGTCCAACTTTTCTATAAAACCAAATAGTTCCTCTACATTGCCACTAATTACATTTTGAATTTCATATTCGGATAAAATATTTTTACTTTCAATGTAAAAGTTGTATGCAACTTTGCAAATGTTAAAAATATATTGGTTTTTACTTTCATTTTCCATCAGCATATAAAATGCTTCACTACTTTTGTTAATGTGTTTTTCCAAAACATAAACAAATACACTAGCATACAAGTTTGTTCTATTTACAAAAGAACAGTTATTTTTTTGATTTGATTCAGCGACAACTGTACACATAGAAGATAGATAAAATGGCACAGATGCCATAGACTTTGCAATTGGAGATTCCTTGAAAAGGCTCTTTAAAGTTTCTTTCACTTCATCACTTACATTTTTTTCTAAATAGTCATCAATTCCATTATTGTTAAAGCCTAAAATTCGAACAGCTAGCTTATCATTGCAATCTGAATACTTATTATCATATTGTGATACTGCATTTATTCTCCCAGCAATTATTGATTTGTAATTCAAATGATCTGATAGTAATTTTACAATTGGGATTTGACATTGAGAACTGTTATTTATTAATTCATTTAAATATTGAAATTCATCTAAACCGTCTATGACAAACATTATGTTATGATTATAAATATTAAAGTTATTGAATATATCAAAGTAGAAAACATTTAGTAATTCATTTATACTAGAAACATTTTGACACTGATTAAGCTTTTTGCATTCAAAATAAAACACAAAATCAACATTTTTCCAAATTAAATCATATGACCAATCAAGTAAGCATTTTCTGAGCAACATTGTTTTACCAACGCCAGCAATACCATATATTAGGCATAACGAGTATTTTCTGAGAGAAAAATCTTGAACAGAAATAGATTTATAATTACTTTGTTTCTCTAAAAATTGTTGTCGGTCCAAAGATGCTACATTCCTTTTAAATTCAGTTGGATTAACAATACAGAGTTCAACAAATTTATCTTTTTTATTAACTTTAAAATAATTTTCTAATGGTGCATGAACTTCTTCAATTACTTCGTATAATTTAAGATAATATTGTTTCAACGCTTCACTTACTTCTGACACATCTAGATAAGAAAAGAAAAAAAAATAGATTTTTTTTGAAAATATTCTAATCTCATTTAGAAACTTATATTCTAACAAAATAAGAACTATCTATATAAAAGCAGACTTTATAATCAATAAAAAGCAGAATTTATCTTCTAAATAATAATGCCGAACATAATAGTTTTAATAGTAGTGTCCCTTGGAGCTTATTTGACACAAAACCCTTCGCAGCCATTGCAACCGAGGAAATGGCAAGAAAGAGTCTCACCTTTGTTTTATAAAAAAATGTGAACAAACGTGAAACTTATATCGTACGAATGCAAACTTCATGTAATGTAATGTTAAAACATGCTTAAACATATACCAAGTTTTATAGTTTAACTTTCACTTAAAAACTTCATTGCGTCAACCTCTTCTTATTTTCTGATCTTTAGTATCTTTATCCGTTAAAAACATTTTTTATATAGTTTTTAAATTTCGTTGCACAACGTGTTTGCATGTCCGAGTGGCTTGCGCGCTGAGCTTTTGAACAAGAAAGCCGTGGTTCGAGTCCTACCACCAGCGACTAGTTTTGAAATATTTTTGCGAATGTGTCATTATTGAGACATACATTATTGATGTTATTTTAGTTAAACATTTCAAGTTTATTTACAACTAAGTTGAGTTCGTGCAAGGAAAATTAGTAAACAACATGTTTATATATAGAATATAAAATCTATAAAACAATAAAGTCTTTTGATTTGCATTTTAAACAACAAAACAAGCAAGCATCAATAGCTTTGATGACTTAATTAACATGTGATACACGAGGCACTGTAGATGTGCACGCAATAAGTATTTAAAATTATCGTAAAAATTATAATTATCGAATATACTCTCATTTATAAATTTTCTTTATATTTGTATTTTGTAATTTTTTAATCTTTTTTTAAAGTTACTAAAGTTTGACTTCTTAATATTTTAGTTAATAAAACATGTTTTGAAGTTAATGAAACTGTTTTGAAGGTGATGTGTTAAAACTGTTTCTCGAATGCTGTTAATTTTATAAAAGCTAAAGATAAACTTTATTTTAGATATGAGTAGGTTGTTTTTTATTTTTTATTGCTTTCTTTGTTAAATACACAATCATGATTTACATGATGATTTTGTTAAATACTCAATTATTCATTACATGAATCTAATTACGTAGTACAGTGTTATTGTCTGGTGGTGATATTCAGGTTAAATTTTATTCAGTTTGCTTTTTTTTTTCTTAGTTACTAATTATTTAAATAGTAAATAACAATAAATTATTTGACTATTTTAATTTTAGTGCCATAGCTTATCATATGTTGTAAGTTTTAAATTCGAATATATCTTTATCTTAAGTTTTAAAGTTTATATTCATTTTAATGAAATGAAGTTATACATTAACTTTGCTGTTTAAATAAAATTTTAAAATAAAGTTGTTTAAAAAATGTTGTTTGATTTTCTAAATTGTTGTGAAATAGCAGTTTGTATTTTTCTGTCCAATGACATGGGTTTCAAAGTAAAGGGACAAAATAGTAAAGTTCTAATGTCTTCCTTATCTAAAATAGGGAATGAGTTTTTCCCCTCTTTTTATTAAATGGATGGAATTACCCCTACGAAAAGTGTAGTTTAAGAAGTTAGAGTGGGCAGTGGAAAATATATAACTACATCTACAAATAAAAGAGGTATTTAAATGTATTTAGTTTTATATGTATTTTTTTATTAATGTAATTTTTAAGTTTAGTTTGTAAATAAATTCATTCAAAAATACTTTTAAAATCTTTAAGTATTCATTAAAATCTTTAAATATTTTTTCAAAATTACAAATTTTTGTATCTTTTAATAATAATATAGCTAAAATTGAGTTATATTTACAAAATGTTGAAAGTTCTACATTTTATTTTTACATTAAACACCATAAAAATTTAAGTCAACAGAACAGTTGATGATTCTCCATGTCACAAAATAATATAATGTCATTAAAAATTTCTTAAATACTTTATTAATTTTATATAATCACTGGTTATCGCAAATATTCATAGGTCTACTATTAAATACTTGCAATAATATTGCAAGTATTTAATAGTAAAAATAATTATAGGAAATTTTTAATAGGAAAAAATTAACATTTTATTAATTTTTTTCTGTTTTTTTGTTTTTTGTTTGATTGATTTAACAACTTTACCTTCATTATTTTGTAAAAGGTTATTTTTAATGTGTTTAACTGTAAGTACTACGTATTAAAAATATTTTAAATTTAGTTGTAATTCTATTTCTTTAGTTCTACTTTGGTCCTCCACAGACTATTATGTTTACTTTGTCTAATGTTAAAATATGATTTTAATTTAGTAAGCTTTAATTATTTTAAGTTTACTATGTTGATCATTAGCTAATAGTTTAAATAGAAATTAAATGTTTTGCAAACAAGGTAAGAATAAATTTATATGTGTATACATATGTTGAGGAGAGTGAGTAGTAAATAAAAAAAACACTCCGTCTATAATAAGTATTAATTTAGTTGGTTATTCTACCAATTAAACCAAATATTGGTTAATCTATGAATATTTTATTGATAATGCAAATATAGTAGAATTTTTTTTGTAAACATACTTGACTTTATATATTTTATTTTGTTGTTATGTATAAATAAATTGATTTCCAGTTATTACATTAACTATATTAATACAATACAGATTATTTTTTATTCCTTTAAAACATGCCAAAATGGTTTAAGTACTTTGCGTAAGTTCAAATCTTTTCGTTTACACTTAATTTTTTAAAGTTTTTTTACCAATTTTCTAGAATACAAAATAAAACATTTTGTATTCTAGAAAATTGGTAAAAAAACTTTAAAAAATTAAGTATTTAAAAATACTTAATTTTTTAAAGTTTTTTTCACAACAAGCCCTATAGATATAATAAAACATTTTTAAAGCCATATATATGCATTAAAGATATTATATCAAGATATAATAAACGAAAGGGAGAGAATTTTTTAAATAGAATAAAAACTTCTAAAAACATGATTACTCCGTTAAAAACTTGTTGAGCATATATCGCGATGCTTAATTTGTTAATGTGCTTAGTAATTAGTAAAGTCTGCGCATTTAAGAGACAACTTTATTAAAAAATAATGATTTTTCTTCAAAATTAACAGGGCAAGAGTTCTAATAAGCCGCAGATTCAGAATAAAATTAGATAAATTAGATCAAAATTAGATAATTTTACATAATTTAGATAACCATCAAAGTAGTATTATATTCTATTATTTTTTGGTTTAATATACTTTTTGGCTGATTTATTATCTAAACTTTAAAATAAGGGATCGTCCAAATTACTCACGCTAAATTTCACAATTGAAGAAAACGAAAATGATCTCAATTTTCCTTCGCAGAGTCGTATGTTAAATAAAAATGTATATAGCTCATCAAGTTTAATGAAAATTGCCATCCTAAAGAACTAAAAATCTCTTCTACTTTAGGAAAAATAAATTTAGCGTTGCGTAATTTGTGGGCGATTCCATAGTGTTTTATAGTCTATCTATTTTTTTTTCTCTTAAAGTTGTTTTTCAGAACAAAATTGTTTTATTTAAAAGTATTAAAGTAAACAAGAAATAGGTATAGAGGTAATCGGTGTGGAATAGGTATGTATAGAAATAGTAGGTTCGGTAAAGACCCATGTCAATTAATTAGTAATGCAAACAAAAAGATCAAATCAGAAAAAAAAAAATTAGTATGGTGAGATACATATTTTTTTTAACTTTGTAGGTATTCTATTTTTATAGCTTTTTATGAGAATTACTAAAGGATATATATATATATCCTTATATCCTTATATATATATAACGTTAATTAACAGCTAACCTGAGAATCATAAATAATATTTTTAAAGCTAGGCAATCATGAAGACAACATAAAATTTTATAAATACGATATTAACACGGTTACGTGTTAATATCGTATTTATAAAATATTCACAAAATAAAAAATAAATAAACATTATTTACATAATATAGTTTAAAAAATAAAAAATAAATAAACATTATTTACATAACTAAGAATTGAAAACATAAACAAATTTAAAGAAAATAAGAAAAAAGATTTTGTTATAAATACATAAATGCGTTATACAGTTTTAAGATACCATTAACAAAAGTGTTAAACAATAATTTACAAATTGTTAAATCATAAATTTTAATATTGCAGAGTTTAATATAATGTTAAATTAAAAGAAACAAAAAATTAAAAGAATATGAATACATCATCTAATAAAAAAACGACTTTTTTGATTTTTTGTTTGAAAGAGTGGAAGCTAACCTCTTGAGAAAAGTCAAAATTCTTTAAAATTATTTTATTCCAAAGTAATGCTCCTTGAAATGAATTACAGTATTTTCCAGAATAAGTCTGATAAGCTGATCGACGAATGTTGTTATCATTTTGTAAAATGTATTTAGTTTTTTTTTGTTTGTTTTTGGAGGCTTTATGGAGATAGTTGATGTAAATAAGAAAGAGAAGAGGCCCTAATATTGATCTATTAGGAACTCCACAAATTATATCGAGCAAGTTTATTGGTGAAACTACATCAATGTATACAAATTGCTTTTTATTATTTAAATAGCTTTTTAACCAATTTAAAACATTTCCATTTATACTGTAAATTTTTAGTTTGTTTAAAAGAATATTGTCGTCTATTGTATTGAAAACTTTAGCTAATTCGATAAAAACCCCAACAGTATATTGGATGTTTTCAAAAGAGCTAGTAAAACTTCTCTTAAATTGGAGAACTGCGTGTTCTTTCGAGTTTTTTTTTTTGAATCCATATTAATTGCTATATATTAAACTGTTTACAGATAAACGATTATAAATTCTGTTGTATGAAATTCTTTCTAAGATTTTTGAAAACGCAGATAGAATAGAAATGGCACAATAGATGATAATAATAGTTAAATCACCTTCCTTAAATATCGCAATCACTTTTGCTGTTTTTAGTTGGTTAGTAAAAATTCCTTCTC